GACGACCAGGTCGAATACCCGAGCCCACCGACCACTCACAATCTGAACGGAACGTGTCGGTGTGCTCGGCCAAGTCACGGATTTACGCCAGGATAATTATGGAGAGGTTAATTTATGTAATGCACCGGATTAGCCCCCTAATTTCCCGGGGCTCAGTCCTTAATTACGGCCCAATAATAATCACTATAAATAGGACCCCAACGAGGTATGTAACTAACTTTTCAACTACCGCATTTAATACGCCGAGCACTTACTTGAGCGTTGGAGTGTCTTTGCAGGCACCCCCCTCATTTTGGACTACTCGGAGAAGGACGAGAAGACCTAGACCTCGGACCCGACCCGCTACAACAAGGATAATTGGAGTGTGTATCCTAACACAGGAACATTAAACATTCTATGAAAATTATTATATACATCATGATCTTTACTAATATATATAAACCTCTCTTATGAAGCAAAAGTAATCTTTGCTGAAAGTTGTTACTTGAACAGGAAAAAAAAATATACCAGTCATATATGTTGATAAAATAAATATTTTAAAATTAAATATGTAAATATTCTTAAATAAATTTATGTCATTTTATTTTATATACTAACTAAAAGGAAACAAAGTCAAACCATATTAAAAATATTACAGTATGACTGATGTTTATTTTATTCTGTGGTAATTGGATATTTGTGGTAATAATACCAATTTTATTTCATTTATGTTCCTGTGTTAGGAAACACACTTCAATTATCTTCGTAGCAGCGGGTCTGGTCTTAGGTCTCGGTCTTCTCGTTCCAATCCGGGTAGTCCGAAGTGAGGGGAGGGCGCCTGCAAAGACACTCTGACGCTCAAGTAAGTGTTCGGCGTAATAAATGCGGTAGGTAGAAAAATTGGTTACATACCTCGAAGGTGGTCTATTTATAGTGTTTCTTATTGGGCCGTGATTAGGAGCTGGGCCCCGAAAAATTAGGGGGCTAATCCGGCTTATTCCTTAAATTAATCCTTTCGTAATCATATTGGTGGAGTCCTGGGGATCAGCCGAGTAGACCGATTCCTTCTGTTTGGCGAGGGGTCGGTTTGTTCGGGTATTGGTTTCGGTCTATGTTTTATAATTAAATTAATTTTTTTAGATTTTTTTATGAATTTATATAAAAAAATATTAAAATTCCTCCATCTTTGAGAGTACCGTAACAACTCCTTAAAAATAATTATATATATAAATTTATGTTGATTTTTTTGTTTAAATAATGTAAAATTTTTGTTTACATCCCAACAATAATATTAGTTTACTTAATAGTAATATATATTAACATATATTATTCATAATATAAATTCATATTATTTAAATAAAACTCTAATTTTAATTGAAAAATAACATCCACATATTTAAATATTATACATTTAAGAAATATACCAGTAAAACATAAATGGGTTCGCATTGGTTTGGACAGCAATTTTATTGACG